AGTTAGAGAGTGATTGTAATAATTCAGAAGAGAGATGTGGGAGACGCACAAGAGAGTACAATGCCTGATATATAGTAGGTGTATAATAAGTGACGGTTTCTTTTCTCATTTGACAATTCTCTAGATTAGTGATGGAAGATGTTATCATAACCATTTTACAACTTGTAGAATTGAATTGCTAGCTCAATTGCTAGTGACTTTCTCTTAGGGACTTAGATAGTCAATGACAAGGCCAGAACAACTGCATTTGTGTTCCTGCTTTCAGGTGTATTTCAGTGTCTAAGAACTTTGAGGATACAAGTGAGAATAGCAAGTTTTGAAATAAATAAAATAGATGTTTTCTGTAAATGGCCTTCAAGGGCCTGAGTATGAATCAGATTCTTCCTTAATCAAGTTTCATTTCTACTACTCACTCATTCAACAGATACTTTTGGAGAGTTTATTATAATCAGGAAACTGGGGATACAGTGGAGAAAGAGACAAAGGACAAAGTCTAATTGAGCTTAAATTCAGCTGGGTGAGTGTTTTGAGAGCCCCCAGCCAAATTGGGGTCCCTGTACCAGAGCAACTAGTGACCCTGCTCTAATAGGAAATGACAGGAAGCTGGACATAAGTGTTTACAGTGTGGCTTTCATGAAATACTTCTTTTAACTGGCATATGGCTTAATGTCCAGCTGTTCCACCTGTGGCTGGGAGTCCCTGACATCAGAAACTTATTTATATTGGGAGATTTTCCCGTGGCTCTTGTGTGACCCATGTCTAGTTTATGCCCATTTGAGCATTAGTCTGGCACTGGGAGCCCAATCTTCTATTCTAACCAGTATTTTAGGCAAAACCTGGCCTAAGGTAGCCCTTGTTTCTTCAGATCGAAGGTGCAAATTCAGTATAGTACCACAGTACTAAATGAGTTCAATGATGTTTTACTTATAGATTCTGACCAGGGAGGGTGTGATGAGTTGAAAGAGCAGTTTTCCATCCCTGGGTCATGCCAAACAAAAATGAAGAGTCAGTATATATAAAGGGATAGAGTGTGGGTTGCTTTAAGTTCATGGGTAAATATTTGAATGGTATGTTTAAAGGAAGCAGTGGGAAAAGCAGGGATCCCAGTCTCCTAGGCAGAAGAGATGTCCTAAGTTCTTATTTCTGGCTTCAGCACTTTGGGTGTAGTGTTCCACTTCTAGTGCCTACGCAACAACTTTTGCTGTGTCATTCCTGGTACAGTGAGAGAGACAGTCAACAAGCAAATGAATTAACAAATCATATAATCAGTGAAATGATGAAATAAAGCTATATAGCAAAGTGTAAGAAGGTTAGGGGACAATAAAAGTTGGAGGTGTCTCTATTCAATATGGTGTTGAGAAATGACCTTTCTGAAGAAGTGACATTTTGAATGATGTGAAGGAGCAGAACTTGTGAAGATACAAGAAAAGGTCATCTCAGGAGGCAGAGGGGCCACAAGGATAAAGGATTATCAAACACCAAGACCCTGAGATGAACTATGCTGTGAAGTTAGGGATCAGCAACACGACCAACTGGGTGGTATGGAATCAGTAAGATGATACCTGATAAAAGAAGGAAGGCACAAGAAAGAGCTTACATTTTAGTTTTAGGTTCTTTTTTCTTTTCCCTGAGTGAATAGTGATTCTATTTACAGAAAAATCTTGAATGAAGCTTCAGGGTAAAATCAAGACATGATAAGGGTGAGATATCTATTGGAAACCTTAGTAGAGATACTGAGGCTCTTGAATATATTAGTGGGAACTCAGGGGAGAGAGCAATGAGAGAAATTAAAATTAAAAGGCACCAGCAAACAAAAGGCATTTAAAACTATGGGATCAGATACAATTGATTAGTGAAAGTGTATATATAGAGACAAGATGAAAATGGCCAGGGTCTGATAAAGTTTATATTTAGAGAAAAGGAGGAGTTCCTGGCAATAAAAACTGTGAAGTAGCCAATGAGGAAGGAGAAACACCAGGAGAAAGTAATTTCCCAAAAGCCATGTGACTAAACAGTTTTAAGAGGAAATAACCAACTGTGGCAAATGTTATCAAGATGTCAAAGAAGATGAGGACTGAGCATTGACCAATGGATTTGGGGAGCTGAAGGTCACGTTAATGACCTTGATACCGGATGACTTTGCAGAGTCATGGGGATGGAGGCCAAATGGAAGTAGATTCATAGAAAAAGAGAAGCACGGAAGTGAACCAAATGACAGCTCACACCCTGTCTAGGAGTTTACCATACAGGGGAGCTGGGAAAAAGGGAGTAGCTTGGTGGAGGGCAGTTGCAGGATGCTAGAGAAGGGATTTAAGATGAATGTTATCACAGACTATTTGTGTGATGAGAATGGTTCAATAGAGAGGTGAAATGATGCTGCCAGAGAATGTGGGCAGGAAACGTCTTACCAGATGAATTAATTTTGATATAATAAGTGACTTAGGCTGTGAGCAACCTCACTGAGGAGAAAACCAAGGCCAGCTGATATTTATTGCACACATACTATATGCTAGTATTTCACTGAGCTATTCCTCATGTAACACTTACACCACAGCTCTGCAGTGTGGGTATTATTATCTCTTCCAATTTACAGATGAGGAAAGTGTTCAATGTCTTTTTTGGGGGGCGGGGGGGGGGCGGGGGAAGACAAAGTCTTGCTCTGTTGCCCTGGCTAGATTGCAATGGCGTCATCATAGTTCACTGCAACTTCAACTCCTGGGCTCAAGATATCCTCCCGCCTCAGCCTCCCAAGTAGCAGGGACTACACGTGTGTGCCACCATGCCCAAATAATTTCTTCTGTTTTTAGTAGAAATGGGGTCTCCCTCTTGTTCTGAACTCCTGAGCTAAAGCAATCATCCATCTCAGCCTCCCAGAGTGCTAGGATTAGAGGCCCGAGCTACTGCACCCAGCCCTAAAGGGTTCAATGTCTTGTCCAAGGTAACAGCACTAGTAAGTGGTGGAACTTGATTTCAAACCTATCTGCCAACTTACGCATCTAATTACAGTACTATGAAGGAGCCAGAGTTTCTGTCCAGCTCAGTGAGGACTAGCTCTAGGTAATCAGGGATGATAATATACTTCTTACTCCTTATTGTTGCCAAGAATTTTTATTAAAAACACTAATGTTTTACTAATAGCTTGACATCTCACAGTTTGGGTTTCCAGAGTTGCAGGGTGCTCAGAAATTCAACTTAAAAGTCACTGTTTCACAGAAATTGTCCTGAGGACACGTTCTTTGTGCACGCACCATGCAGTAGACTTTCTACCATTTTATCATTTTGCTTGCAATTCCTTAATTAAATTAAAAAACTCTATTGATTTATATTGAACCAAACACTGTGCTAGTTGGTGGGCATATGCAGAGAAACAAGATGAAAATTTTATCCCTGAATTTTCAAAGCAAGAGGCAGATTCTGGGTGGATGGTGTCTTCTCTAAGTAATCTTATCAATAGAATTGAATTAGGATCTTTTAGGTGCTCACACCATTTATTCATTGCTAAAAGCTATAGCAAAGCTGTGGATTTCAGGAACAGAGAGAAAGGAGACAGACAGCCAGTGACAGAAAACATTAGGAAAAAAAGATGCTTGATTGATTGATAGATTTTCTATTTGTTCCAAAAAGAATGTGGGAAAGTTTGTAGAGATACAGAATATAAGTTCACATAATTTAGGACAGAAGTTGAGGAAAAGAAAAATAAGATAACTTCAGGTCAAGAGTAGGGACTAAATACTCCCCAATAAGTTGTGAAGATTTGGCCACGGGTGGGAAAAGAATCCACATACAAATACAAAGCAGATGCTCTCTAATTGGAAAGAAATGGAATAATTATGTTAATTCATCCATTTTTATAATCACATATAGCTTTTAATTCTTTTTATGGATTCAAAATTAAAATATGTCTGCATTATTTGGACCTTACCTCAACCTCTCCTTTCAGGACCAAACAACCCTCTAGTGTGACCTTCCTGCAGCACAGATTCCCCTCATGACAATCGGGTCAGCAGGCAGCCTTTCTCTCAAGACATTCATGTGTGCCCACCTGGATGTTGGACAGATGTTCCCCTGTAGGGTACAAAAATCTCCCAACATTAAGTTTTAATTGCATCTCCATAATTGTTGTTTAAATGCTGTCATTCCTTTTATGAGCTGATTTTTCTATGCTAATCAGTGTTCAATTTAAATCAGAACAAACAAACAAATAAACAATCCTAACAACAAGAAAAACAGAACTCTTCTGTATTTATTGCTGATGACTAAAATAGTACCACACACCCTGACTGTGATTGACGAATTGCCTGAAGTCTAACACAGGACCAATACAGACCCTCTCTCTTTGCATCCCTGTAAACAAAATCTACTCGAATTTGTTTTGGAATCAATTTGATTTTAAAAGGCACTGGGGCTCTGTCAATAAGCAACAGACAAAATATAATTTCCTTTGAATGGAATTGGGATTATGGTTTAAAGAAGTTTTTCTCCCTCTTCCTCTCCTTTGAATTGAGAAAATAAAACTGGAGATTCTTGCCAGTGCCAAAGTTCAGGGACCAGTTGTTCAGAATTTCAGGTGCTTTTCCTCAAACTCTTTGGGCAATTAAATAAATGAATAAATAAAGGAAGACAGGGGTAAGTGGTGGGGGGGGAGAGAGAGAGAAAGTTCCAAATTTTCAAGAATGTGATTAATCAAAGCATGAGAGCAGTTGCTTCATGGAATTAAATAGGTTTGGGAATTTGGTGTAGATTTGGCAGTGGTATGGATCTAACCAAATCTTTTATGCAATTTTGAGTAACTCTAGGTGTGTTCTCAAAGCCAGATTCTTCTGCAGCAAAAACTTGATAATAACTAATCTATATTACTCTATAAAGTCATTGTAGGAATTAAGTGAGAAAATATATTTAAAAGTTTTGTAGTTGGCTGTGAATGTTCAGACTTCTGGTCAAAAAAATAAAAAGTTTTGTGGATGATTAAGAGGTAAATAACAAGGAAACATCTTACCTTTAAATATTGCGTCTCTGAGCACATTTTCTGCATCACTCAGCACTAGCTGGTACTTTCTAGACTTTTCTGAACTCTCAACTCCTATTTTTGGCATAGAAAAAAAGTGGATATTTGTATTCTTTTGTTTAGAACAAATAGAAATTTCTGCTGTTGTTGGCTTCAGATTTATTACTCAATTAATTATGGATTTGCTATTGTCTTAAAGTTAGAGAAATTTGATCAGCGTTAAACACCAATCCCAAAGATATTTATTTTCCAGCTCTTCTCCTATTTGGCTGACAGGAATCCAATTCCTGAAGAGGTCTTTTAATTCAGCATCAGGGACTCAAGTAATTAAAGCTCTGCTTCTCCAACAGATCTTCCTTTACCACCAAGTACACTATTGGAGTTTAAAACTGATCCACTAATGAGTTTGAAGAATATCACATGTATATCTGATTGTCTGAGTGTGGGTTACAATTTGCCATCTTGTTTAAGAGGGTGCAGGAGGCTGAAGAGGATGGAACTTTATTTACCTATGTGCATACTGCCAGGATTTCTGCCCTGATATTAAAACTGATATAAGTCCTGGTCTTAGGCTGCCCAAATGTGGTGGTCTTCTTAGGGAGGCTTGGCAATTACAGGGCAGTTTCTCCATCTTTTATTTCCAGTTCAGCACAGTCTGCTTGCTCGGACCTTTCCAACAGTTTGCAATCTCTATCCTCATCAGTATATGGTTTTTTCCTTTCTACAGAAATTTAGACAATTCTTTTTATGGCAATTGAAGCAAGCTCAGATATCGCATATGCTGAGTCCTCAACAGTGTTAAGATCAGCAGTATAAACTCTGAGGAATAAGGGGAGGAAGACCAGCTGGGAGGGGAATGCAATTATTGAAAAATCTGTGGCAGAGCTTCTCAAATTTTAATGTGCAAAGGAATCACAGAGAAACTGATCAAAATGCAGATTCTAGTGGAGTGAAGCTAAAGATTCTTCATTCCTGTGAACTCTTAGAAGTGATGTTCCTGGAATACACTTTGAACAGCAAGAATTCATGGTGCGTTCATGCTTTGTTTATACCCCCCCATGCCTTTCTGCTTTGACTTGGTGCTTTAGACCAGTGGATCGCTACTAGAGCTGCATATTATTTCCAACTGTATCAAAACATACTAATGTCTGACCTGACATCCCTGAAACTCTGATTTAATTATTCTAGTGGAAGGCCTAGACATGCATATTTTTTAAAAGCTCTCCAAGTGATTCTAATGCAGAGTCAGGACTGAGAGACCTGGTTTTTTATTTGTTTGACTTGATCTGGTTTTACCATTGGATGCTACTTTCAGATGTCTGTTGGGTTCGTGTTTCACAGCATGCAGCCCAGTTACCCAGCCTGCTGACCCCGGAATCAGTGTTGTGCTGCAGCCCTGACTTGTCCAACAGAGAAACTACTGGCCACTCTTCCTCCATTTGGTATCCTCGGCTCTTGTTAAACCCACAGCATATTTATTTCTATTTTGCCACTTTTTAATGTCTATCTCACCCCCATTTGGCTACTCACAGTATGGACTATGTCCTATCCATTTTTATTTTACCATTATAATGACTGGCATAGACTAGCAAACTGTACTGGCATACATAATAAATGAAATACAGTGTTCTTGGTGGGATTCCAGAAGACCTTAAAATTCTTCAGTGAGATATTAAAGTATGAAATAAGGATAATGTGCATAACTTATTTTGTTAGGTAGACAGTGAGGGACCTCTGGCCCTCCTGGGGACAAAGGCTTGCACCAGAGAGATTGCCACACCTGGGGAGGAGGGGCTGCCCTACCAATCTGACAATCAGAACTTAGCATGCCAAGCCAACTGCACAAGAATGCAGAGGATTCACTAGCTTGAGAGCCAAGCAGCACAGGCAAAATGGGGTCTGGAAGGTGACTTAGAGCAACCTAAGGCTAATTATCATGTCATTAGCTTAAATCTATATTGGTACCCCCCACCACCACCACCACAATGGGTTTTCAGAGCAGCTCATGGGAGATCTGCATGTACAGTAAGACTCAGGTTATATAACTCCCAACTGTCCATCAAAGTGGTGCAACAGTGACATTTGAACCACAAGGAGGGCCCAGTCTAGGCAAAATAAAACACCCCAGGCCATAACAGGGGCCTTCCTGTTACAATAGAGGGTCTGTTTGTTGTTGTCTGTGGAGAATGTATCTTACTTTACGCAATAAACTTCACTATACTTTGGTGTGTCTGGTCATCTTCATCCAAGAGCACACCAAGAACTGAGAAAAGACAACTGCAGCCCAATAACTCCATTGCCCAAATATGGGCAAGAAACACCTAGCTGAAAAAAAATAGACCAAATAAATACCAATTAACTATCTGACTTCTTGTATATTCACATAAAATCATCCTACTGAGAATTCCAGGATAATGTTATTCATATCATAATTTTGAACACTCACTTATAGAGCTTACTATTATATAACTGAATATTTTTCAAAAGCTATATATATATATATATATGTATATATATGTGTTTGTGTGTATGTATATGAAATGTTTAAGACTTAACCAAATTCAGTGTATGCTATTATAACTCCCATTTTACTGACAAAATAATTCTGGCATGAAGAAGTTATGCAGTTTGGTTTGAATCACATAACTAGTAAGTGGCAGAGCTGGGGTTTCAACCAAGTAATTAGGGTGCAGAGATTATACCCTAAACACTTCCCTAGATTTTTCTATACCACTATACCTTAGATGGTCTAGCCAGTGGGGCTATCACCCTTATATAAAAACCTCTTTTCCTTTTACTTTAATGCTTGTTTGTTTTTGTTTTTGATATTTACTGGTTATAGCTCATGTTATAATCAACTTTCATGTAAATTTTTAAAATATCACTAATTCCCTTAAATTATTCTTTCTTATAAATTTAATCACTCCCTATAATCTGGATCCTTCATATATCAGCTTCTGAATGCCTTTGAAGCTGTACAATTAAATAAATCACACAAATAATAAAACAAATTTTTCTCTGAAATTCATATTTCTTTTCAGTTGCCAACCCATCTCTCTCCTTCCCCTTGATATTATTATTACAATATATTATTGTAATTATATTTTATAGTGCCCTTCTTCACCTCTGATTTATTCCTTAACTCAGTCTAGCCTGACAGCTACCCACGTCATTCCATCCAAAACATATCTTACACCATCACTTATGACCTCGGTACTACTAGTCCCCTTTAACTACATTAATTTTCATACCTTATGTTACTTGGTCTTTCAGGAACTCTGACAGTGTTACTAAAACACTCTTTTCCTTGACTTCCATGATGCTCCACTGTTCTGGTTTTTATTCTCTGACTGCTTATCATTCTCCTTTGCAGACTCGGCTTCACCTGGGCAGACATTAAATAATGGAATTCCTCCAGCTTTGCTCCCGTGCCCTCTTCCCCTTTGCTTGATGATCCCTTTTTAGATGACATTCTTCACCCTAAGAGTTGTTTTTACCACTATGTTCAGGGTAGACATTACCTCTGAGCTTTCGATAGCCTACTTGGCTGAATTCTTGACTGTTTCAAGAATCAACCAAAATTCACTGTTCCACACTGAACCAATTATTTTTCCCACGTGTGCCCTGTTTTCTATCTCAATGAGTAGTACTTTTTCCCATATATTTATGTTACTCCTACTTCCAGAAGTCTTCTTTCTCATCCTTTTAGGATTCCTTTCATTTCTACCACTTCCACTCTTCTAATTACTGTGGCTATGATGATTCTCACTTATCACATGTGTTCTCCATACAGGACATTTTTTAAAAAAAATTTATTTAGTGTTAAGAATAAAATGTTTTACTTTAAAAACAAACCTGTCCATATTGCACCCACAAAAACACACCTACCCCTTCCACTTTCAGCTAAAAACACTTCTTACCAATCTGAGGATGAGGACACAGTTCATTGTCACGGCCCTTGAATCTGTCATGCCTTGCCCTCACCTACTCCTATAGTCTAATTTTGAAATATTTCTCTCTTCCTCCTCCTCCACCACTTGTCTTCACTTCAGCTGCATTATATTTCAGCTATGTTAGTCTTCAATTTCTACACACACTTGTCCCTCCACCACAGGGCTTTAACACGTGCTGTTTGTATGAATGGAATAATTGTTGCTTCCCTTCTTCACCGAGGTAGCTACCATGTACTCCTCAAGTCTCAACTCATCATTATTTTCTTAGGAAATGAATCCTCAATGTTTTGCTTACTAGGCCAAATCTCTCTATGATATAATTGCATAGTATCCTTATTTCCCATTCTTAGCAATGACAAAAAGCTTACTATAAAATTAAACTTTTGTCAATATCTGTCTTCCTTATTAGACTATAAGCTTCAGAAGGGCAGAGATGCTATCTATTTATGCTCACTTTTTATTCCCAACACCTAGCAGTGGCTGGTATAAGGAGTTACTGAATAGATATTTTGTTTAGTGATTGAAAACTGTCACTCACACTGACTATTGTTAAGCCAGTGTTAAAGCTTTCTGTACTTACAAAGCTTTTCTGCTATTGGATTTTTTTCCCTCCCCATTTTGTAGAAGTCAAATGATTATTCCAGCCTAGCTAGTTTTTTCTGATGCCCTATAACTATGTTTACTTGACCTTTAACACTTGAGTTTCTTGAGTACTTTTTATTCCAAGTTAAACAAAGCTGCATTAGTCATCTAAATGTTGATATTGACTCTTGAAAATCACTTTGTCTTTCTGCCTACAAAATCTAATTCTGTCTCTATAGTCAAGCCTGAGCCCTATACAAACTGCACCTTGCTTTTCTCCTCCCACTGACAAGCTGGTTTTGGGGCAGAAGAAAAACATAAAAGACCAGGACTTTTTTTCTCCATTTCCACATTTTGCTCCATTGAGTCTGAGAATTTTCCTTTTCTATTTTTGGTGGTTTCTGGCAGTTATTTAATGATTTTTCAAGCATTTTTTTCTTTCCAGGTGATTTTCCCCTTCTCTCCCCTGCCTGGCACACAGAGTACATGGACCCGTATGTGTCGGAGAGGCAGAGATTCATCACAGCCCCTTACCTGGGAAACAGATGCTCGCTGCCAAAATCAGCTTCAGATTGATGCACAAAGACAGACTCCTGTGCACAGTAAGAGAGTAGAACACATTCAGATTACAGTTGAATAAATAAAAACCAAGAGTGCAGCAGAGAAGGCCACGCATTGGAGAGATGCCCATTGATTGTCAGGGTGTCAGCACTACAAACAACAGAAAGATCACCTAGCTCAGCCTTCTTGTTGTTTAGATGAAGAAACAAAGGCACAAAGAGTTTAATAATTTTTTCCCATAGCAAAAATAGCTTTTGCAGGGGCAAGGATCTTGTTTCCCATGCTTTTATGGTGCCCAATCACTACATGCTTATGGGCTTCTAAGACATGGGCAGTCTCTCTGGTTGGATGTTGCTATCTTACCTAAAACTATTACACAATGAAAGGAGGCGAGAACAAAATATTTCAAGTAGCAATAGAGAGTAAAGAAGATATTTCTGTGGTCACTTGACAGTGGTTTACTTGCTACTATATGTAAGAAATGACCAAAATCTAGAAGACAGAATGTGAGTCCGCAATAAAAGATGCTCAATTTCTAACCACATGGGTTTAGATGCTATTTTTCCCACCTTCATCCTGAGATCTGTTTTCCTTTTAACATTGTACTACAATAGCTAAGGCAAATTTCTGAGCACACTGTGGAGGATGTCATCATTCAACAAGCATTTACTAAAGGCTTATAATATATTGGACACATTCCCCTTCTTCCAAAAAGTAACCAAGATAGATGTAGGCCCACTCCACATCTTACATATATTTAAACATAGGGAAACAGCTTTCAGCCTCTTTCTTGATTTAAAAGGATTATCCTAGATGCTGAGCCATCCAACTTGGGTGTATAGTAGGAACTCAATAAGTGGCATAATTATTTTGAGCAGTTAAACTGAATTCTTAATTATTTCCTAAAAAGCATATTCTTATCTGTACTAGAGGCTGACCACCCATCTTCATCCTCCCCTGGTGCAATGAAGTGCCCCTATGTTTCTGCCTGCCATGACCTCAATATCCCTTGTTACCATATCTGATGCCACCCATTGGCTAAGCTGCCTCTTGTTGCCCATTTCTGGGGTCTCAAAATAGAGCATTCTTTCTCTTGAACAGGACATCCTCCCCTAGTCAGTAGTAGATTTTGCCATTTTTCTACTTTGATACTTGCCCTATCATGTGGATATGTTTAATTCACAATATCATGTTCTTTCCAGTGTAGTAGACCCACCACAACAAGTCGTATCATGAGCTAGGGCACTTGTTGATTGCCAAGGCATGCAAATTTCCCTTCATCCTCATTCATCGGTCTTGACTTTTTATGTTCAATCAAGGGTCTTCCTTCTGTGTGATTGATTCTAGCTCCAATACTGGATCATCCCAGGGCAAAACCTTGGCCTAACGCCTGTGACTGGTTAGGACATTATGGAAAATCTGTAACTATAGAGATAGGCTAATTAGACATTTCTGATCTTCAAAGCAAATCATATTCTCAAATTTTTATCCTAATTCCCTCATTGACACTAAAAATGTGATCATTCAAAAGATCTTTTCATTTACTTGTCTTAAAGCGTCAATAACGAACATAATCAAAGACTTTCAAACTAATTAGGCCAAGTGTTATGTATGTGGGTGAAACAAATTATAATTATGAGGTTTATTCTGATCAACTCTAAAACAAAAAGATGTCATTAGTGGAGAAATGGTTTCACTAGTTTCACAAGCATTGTGTATGAGACATTAAAGAGATCAGATCACTTGTCTTGGGAAATCAAAATAACTTAAAGTCTGAGAGTTGAGGGAACATATTGTAATGACACCTCCTCACATCTAGAACATTTTTGGTCATGGCCTAAGAATTCAAAGCTAGCAAGTGCAAATAACAGGTGGCTGTTCTGTCTGCCATATGTATCTACAAATTGGCAAAACTGTAAGAATGGCAAGAAGGCATATAGCTTTTACAAAGTATTTTTGTTGACTTTGAGAACAGCCTAAAATTCAGATTTTCAGGTAAGAATGCTAATTCCCACGGCAGTTGCTATGTAGAGCTTTACTCCACCCCACACACACACAAAATCTTTAGGATAATTATAGCTATTCACACCTGCTATATGCCAGACACTTTTTTCTAACCTTCACAAACATACTGTGAAGTAGGTTTTAACAGTTCCATTTAACAAATGAAAAAATCAGATAGGCAAGTAAGGTAGACAACTGTATCTAGGATGATGCAGCTAATAAGTATAAAAAAAATTGAATTTGGACCCAGATATGCCTGACAATAGATCTATGGTCTTTTCAAAACATCTTTCTGTCTCTTTATTTTATCCAGAGAGCTATGCTTTTTGTAGGTTGCTTCTGATTTCGACTTAGGCGATAAATTCTATCAGCCAGGCATTATATGATATATTATACACAACAGTTTGTTTCAAACTAGACTGCTATTTATGTGGTTATTTGGAAAAAAAATGATTTCACTTGAGTTGGGCTGCAAGCGTAGCACTATCACTAATACAATAATGAGAATATACAACTGATGCAATTCTGAAAACAAGGAAGCCAGTGAGGGTGTATCAATTTGAAATACGTCTCATTTTTTATTAGATGGCAGAGAAAAGGATAAAAGGGACAAATAGGTGGCAAATACTGCTTAATAAGCTGCTACCAGCTTTTTGCTGTTTGCCAAGGTAGTGAAGAGGTTTTTAGTTGAACCACTATCTATGTGGGTGGAGTTGTGAATGGTTAGTTTTGAACCATCCTAGTCCTAGGGCATCTACACATAAATTCTTCTAATCATTCTAATCAGTGATGGAATTCACTTCCATTAGTATCTCAGCCAAAGAAAACTTTAATATCAGTAGTGGATTGAATAGTGGCTCAATAAGGTTATGTCTAAATCTTTATCCCCAGTATTGTGAATGTGACCTTCTTTGCAAATAATGTCTTTGCATATGCAATTACTTTGAAGATCTGGAGATAAGATCATCTTGGAATAAGTGGATGGACCCTAATCCAATGAAATGTGTCCTTATAAAATACAGAAGAGGAAAAGACAGAGAAGAGAGGCAAAGAAAGACCACCACGTGGAGGCAGAGGCAAAAATTGAAGCTATGCTGCCACAAGCCAAGGAACAACCCAAGTGATCAGAACCTGGAGGAAGCAAGGGAGGATCCACCCTTACAGCACACAGCAAGGTCCTAGCAGCATCTTAATTGTGAACTTCTGGCTTTCACAACTGTGAGAAAGTAAACTTGTGTTGCTTTAAGTCACCCAGTTTGTGGTATCTGGACATATGCCTTAGGAAAGCAATAAAAAATCCAAGTGAAAAATCTCCCTCCCTTAAAACTTTCTATTCCTTGCTCCGGGCAAAAGGGAGCTGACCCCTGGCCCTTCTCCTAAACTACCTGCAAGATCATTATGCATGAACTGACATGAAATCACACTTTGCCATGTTTCCCTGAAGTTCTCAATTCCTACAATAAATTTGACCAGTGAGGGGTCCTAGGGTCACTTTTCCAGCATATTTTCTGACCTATCAATCAAAGTACACTGCAAAATGTTGTGTCTCTAAGACCAATGCCAATATTTCCGGAAATGAGAGTAGCAAGACAGTGGGTGACTTGGTTTGGATTTAATATTAATAGTTGGGTGAGTCTGTACTCATTCGAGAATGTCAACACTGTCAATATGTGGCCCCATCTCTTTGACTATCAGTTTTATTCCAGCTAATACAGTCAGAGTTGTTAGTCGATAAAAGATGGTATGACTTTGTATATTGTGGCATGAAAAAGAAATTGTTATCTACTGCAGTAGCCAATCCTGTTTCTTAGTAGGCATTGCAGCCACCCAGGCAAAGTATTTTCCTGCTGAGAAATTCAGGCATGGAAACATAGAATACCAGCAGTTCCTTCTCTCCCACATGCCTTCTTTACTCATGTTGCTAAACAACGCCTGCTTCTAATTCCATGCCTGCATAAGTGCTCACAATTCTTAATGATGGTGAGTGACTTTTTAATAACTGGAGGCTTTGAATAAGGAGAGTTTTGGCAGAGGACTAGCAAGGTTGGATTTAAACCAAACTTAATAAAAAAAAAAGTTCAGCTCTGGAATGGAAACAACTATCCAGAAGCTCAAACATTTAAATGCATAAAATCAGGGAAATTCTCTCCTCCTTTCTTGTCAATATCTTGCATAGTAGTATGCCTCTTAGATTCCCCATTGAAATGTTTTCATGCTGCCATTGCTAGAGTCAGGTTCAACTAGTATCTATTAAATATCTACAACCTCCCAGGCAATATTAGGTGATTTACATACTTTATCTTATTAAGTCTTGGAAAATAACATTGCAGAGTCAGGAATTATTATCGCCATGGAGCACATAAAGAAACTAAGGGTCAGAAAACTTAATGACTTGTCCAAAATTGTACCCTGACTAAATCTTAGAGCTAGATTTCATTTCTGGTCATTATACCTAAATTTATTATTTATTTCTCCTTGCCTTTTATTTAAAAAATGAATTTGTCAAGTATTTCTTAATATGGGTTAAAGACCGTGTGTATGAATGCAGGTATTCTCCATGGGCATTATTTCACAGCAGCATTTAGCTTGGCAGTAACTGCAGAAAATGAGTTCTTCAGAGTAAGTTATAGTAGAAGATAATTCTGTATAGAGAGATTTAATTTTATAAAAAAAACCAAAATTGCCCTTCAAACCGCAAGCGTTTAAATTTTAATGTGCTAATTTTAATTAAGTTTAATTAATGCTGCTGAGCTTGGTAAACTTAAAGAACTTCAAATGACACCCCCAGAAGCTCTGAGACATCTTTCTTACTTGTCAAAACCTGCCTTCTGGCTGAATCCCAACTCATGCCTCAACAGAAATTGCTTACTCTTTAATCTTTCTGAATCCATGCTATCATTTATCCATTTGTTATATGAAATCCAATTTGTAATGGAATCTTTGTCCAATACTTTATCAGGGAGAGAGATGAGCTCTGAGATGATTCATTATCTTCAATAGTGCAACTGAGTTCTGCTGCCCTCCCCTA